ACCACTCCTTTACTGCTGGGGAGGAAGAAGCTGAAACCCTACCCAGGTAGCTTGAGAGAATAGGGACATCCCAGTGAGGAGCCAACCTCTGGCAACTGGGAGGCAGGTGCCAGCCTCTGCTTTCCAGCCGACCTTTGTCCCTGTCCATCCCACACCATTTGTCTGCATCTCTCATCTCTACGTGGTTGGTTGTGCTTAAGCCCAGTCTGAGCAACGAGCACATCCCAGGACAGTCTGTGGGATGGAGGACACACAGGTACATTTCCTCACTTGTGCTCAGGTCAGAAGAAAAAGTTACTGGTGAACACGAGCCTCTGAACTCTAGAACACCTCAGAAGCTGCCCTCTCAGGGACAGGCCCTGAGTCTCCTTGTTACAACAGCAAGGAAGGAGAGTTGGCAATGAAGCCTGTTCTTGGGAACAGCTCTGCCCAGACACCAGGGACTCAGAACTGATGATCTAGAAGGAAGCAGAATGGCTCCACCTTCCCCATCAGAATGGTGAACAGATGGAAGGGAATCAGCCAGAGTCCCTCACTGGGACACCAGGCTCATCACTGTCCATGAGGCCCTGTTCAACAGTGTTGGGGTTTGCTGTGCCAGAACAGGGCTGGCCTGAAAACAAGACATTTACTGTCCAGGTCTTATCTGTAGAAGTCTTTCTTCCCTGGGCCTCAGTTTCCTCAGCCATAAAATTAGGGAATCAACCGTTTATTCTCTCAGGTTCCTTCTAGTCCTGACTATTCTGAGATTCTGGGCTAGAGCCCAAAATGTCTTACCCTAATAGCCCCCTGCTGGCAGCCATAGTACCAAGGCCTGGTGCTGAGCCTCTGCCAAGGCTTGGCTCAGGCCAAGTGTGCTGTTTCATGCTTCCTTCTGCTGTGCAAATGCTGAGTGCAGACTGAGGCCCTTAGCAATAGGACACAGGCTGTGATGGCATCACTTTGGGGTCAGGGCCAGTAAAACACTTTACATCTCCCTGCGGCTCCGCTCTGCACTAATGGAAGAGGAGCTCATCCATTCTTCAGGGCCCGGCTGCCGGTGGGAAGGAAGAGCCCAGAAGGGTGGTGAGACTGAGGGGGGCTGCAATGCGATGCCATGACCCCATCACACCCAGTCAGTCCATTGGTACAAAAGGTATCTTTATTGAGGTCTGGGTAAGAATTAGGCACTTGGCCAGAGCAGCAGCTTAAATATGAGGCAAGCAGGCAAGAGTCAGCCATACCTGGGACCAGACTGGGGAGGTGAGGATATAGGCACTGACTCCCAGACAGAGGTCAGGGAGACAAGAAGAAGGAAGGGACACAGAAGTCTGGGTCAGAGGCCTGGTGGGATGGCCCCTGGGACTGGGCAGGAAGCTCTTGGTGGCAGATCCAGCAGGGAGGGAACCAGGCTTTCTTGTTCCATGTGACCCTTGACCCAGGCTTGAGCCTCCAGTGGAGCAGCCTCACTGGGGGCCTTCCCAGGTCTCACTTCTTCACCTTGGCATCATAGGTGCCGGCATTCTTGTAGGCGCTCACGTAACCACTGTCGTCCAGGATGTCCTGCCGTCCAGCAATACCCTTGCCCTTGCCACTCTCATCGAAGCGTTCTTTGTGGGAACCTGTATACTTACTGGTGTCAGTCAGCCGGTCCACAGCACCTCCTGTCTTTGCTTTCTGTTTGGACAGAGTTCCAACAGGGTCACCTGAGAGGAAAACTGGCCCATCCTACCCACCCCACTCCAGCTGAGATTCCCCACACCCCTCTCAGCAGCAGGGCTAGCAGGGCACTTACAGTGACACCCAGATTGGCTGGTTCCTTGCCTGCTACCAGCTGGCAGATGGCATCAAAGGCCTCTTCCTTGCTCTTCCCCTTGAACCTCTTGGTTGCCAGCTCTTCCAGGGCCTTCTTGAACTCCTCATAGTTGATGACTCTAGCCGACTTAGCCCTGTCAGGCACCATGTGCACCATAAAGATTCCCCCTTTTTGATATCCTCCCTGACTCCAACCCCCAACTCCCCACTTTCTGGGAACATGACAAATGGGTTGCCCAGCACTCACTTGACTTTGGAGAAGACAATGTCCACATCTGTGCCGGTCACGGCCTTCCCGTCAGCCACCTTACAGTCCTTGCACAGCTTGGCCCAGTTCTTGCCATTCATCTCCTGCCCGCTGGCCTTGGGGTCGCCATGGATGGCAAACTTTCGGAAACTCTCCTCCAGCCCAGCTACATCGGTGCTTGCTGCCATGCCAACCCTGTAGGAATCCACCTCCATTACCTCCTGAGACCCAGACCATCCCTGCTGCCATCTCAAAACCAACAAGGGGTGAGCTGGCTGCACACCTGCTACAGTCCCTCAGGAAGAGGGGGCACCTTGTGTCGTCTTGTGCCCCAGAGCTGAGGAAGAGTCACAGGCAGAAAGGTCCTGTCACACTCAGTGCCAGCCCTGGTTCTCAATAGGGCTCAGAGGATGAAATCATGATGCCCACACAGCACTGAGAACAGAGTGGCACTGTCCAGAAGGACTGTGCGGGTAGCAGCTAGGGCATGGCTTTGTCTGTCCCTGGCACAAAGTTTGCTTGGGTGGAAGTGGGGGGAGGGCAGGAAAGCCCTCCTTCCCTAAAAGCTCCTTGTCAAACTGGGTCAGTGCCAGGCAAGGCTGGTGCATGGGCAGGTATTTAGTGAGGGCAGTGTCTCTCCAAGGGTCATGAAGACCTAGAGAGGCCCAGCCTAAGCCTGACAAGGGAGCAGGAACAAGGGCAGTGGTGCATGCCCTAGGCAGGGGTGCAGCTGGCCCAGCCCTGGCCTTGTTACTATTTGCTGTTAAACAAAAACATGAGGGGAGCAGGAACTTAGGTCTGGCCTGGCCACAGTTTGTGAAGCCTGGAGACAGTTGCTAAGGGAGGGTAGTACTGCTTGGAGAGTGTTGCTAAGGGTAGGATGGTGTCAGGGCGGCTTCAGGGAGAAGCTCCCAGTGCTGCTGGGTTGGGCTGGGCTGGGCTGGGGATCAGGGGCCCACGGGTGGGGCATGCCAGCACTCCCTAAGCCTAGGGCACAACCGTGGCTTCCTGGCCCCTTGCCACTGATTGAAGCTGAGCTCCCAGTCTGTGGAGCTTAGGGGTGGGAAACTGGAAGCAACCTAGGTAGAGGCTTCTAGAATAGCCCCTAAAGTCCTCCATGCTGCTAATGGGCCCATGATCTTGGTGCTTCATTCTTTCACTGAAGCGCACATCCCCTTGTCTACACTTCAGCCCTCCACTAAGGTCTTCTCATCACACCCTGAGGACAACCACACCAGTCCACATCCTCACAGCTCATATGCACTGAGCCCTGGCTCTCCACACCCTCAACCATGTACCCCCTGACCCTACCCACAGCCCTGCACTGAGGCCTCCTCCAGCCACACCCAAAGCCCAGAATTTGACCCTTTTTTCCACTTCCATCCTGGTACAAACACTAAGAGCCCTGTATTGAACCCCCTCCCCAGCATACCTCAGCCCTGCACTAAAGTGCACATTCCTAGCTCCCTCCTGCAGCCCCCTGAGCCACCCTCACTCAGCTCTCTCCTGCAGTCCTCTGACCACACCCTTGGCCCCACTGTGAAACTCCCGCTGCAGCTCACACCCTGTGTCCCACTTGCGTCCCCATTTTGCATCCTTTACCTTCACATCCTGAAGACCCCAACCACACTCACTAACCTGACTCTGCACCCACAGCCCTTACAAAGGCCCCCTGACCATACCCTAGAGCACCCCCCTTCATCCATATACCTGCAGTTTCTGACACAGCCCTGCCTTTAACCCCCTCCCCACAGTGTCCAGTCTATGCAATAACATTTCCATACTCCCATGCAAAATGTTGAACACCCACCACCACAATTCATGCTGCAGCTTCTTGACCACACCCCTCGCTCTCCCACATTATCCATATGCCTAGAGCTATCGACACAGACTGCCCCAAAGCCCCTTGAGAGTCTAACCAGCATTGGCATCTCCATATTCCTGCGTCATATTAAGACATACTACCATCACCACACCCACTGCAGCATCCTGACCACACCCTCATTCTCAGCCACCATCTTTGTCTCTTAGAACAAAAGTCACCAATGACCACAACCCCACCACCACCACACCCAATAAAGCTTTCCTCCTCTTCCAACTACTATACTAGTAAGTAGACACTGAAAGATCCTCCCTGGTGACCACACCTGCAGTTTTTAAGACTGGGAAACCCAGAGACTCCACATTGCAGGGGACCTCTGTGGGACTGTAACCCAGATGGTACTGCGCTCCCTTTGCCTCTCCCAAAGTGCAAACCCCAACCGGGAACCCAAAGCCAGGCACTTGGTCCAACAGTAAATATATCCAGGGGAGTTTGGGTGCTACGTGATGCTCGTCTCAAGGATGAGAGGATCCTGAGCCTATTGCTCATTTCTGTCTAGGGAAAGATGGATTTGGGGGCTATTCAGATGGAACAAAATCACAGACAACTGCTCTGGGGTCTGTAGACCTTGGAGGGAGTGACCACGCCCCTGAATTGAATCCGCCTGTCAGCTCCTGCTGGGACAGCTGCAGTCATCAATCAGCCTAGCAAGGAGGTGGGGGTAAGGGTGTGTGTGGAACGCTTGGGGCCAGGGCTGGGGTGCTCAGCTGGTGTCCTCAGCTCAGTACCATCCAAGGTTGGTACAGGCTGCTCCCACCCACCCCTCCTTGTGGAGGATATTAATTAGGGTGGTCGATGTTCAGTTCTCCTACCGGCTTCTATCTCGTGGCTGCTCCTGAGTGTGCCTTCGGATAGACAGGACCCAGGAACTAATCGACAGATGCTGGAGACCAGGAGGCTCCACAGCTCCGCTCCCTGCCGGCTCCCGGACGGGACTGCAGCCGGGGCGGCTCCGCGGTATTATCCCTTGTTTCTCGGTTACCATAGAGACGGTGAGTCCCACCCCCTAGGCAGTCTCGGCGGGAGAGTGACCAAGGTCACGCTGGCTCCTCCCACCAGACCCCGCCCTGTGAGCTCTGTAGGCACCGGGCCCTTGGATTTGCGGCGACTTCCCCTCCCCTTCAGCCACGGTCCTCAAGCAGCCAAAGCTGCCCTCTGCAGTCCTGGATGTCCTAGGATAGGAGCTTCCATGGCCAGTGGGAAAACAGCACCCTAAAGTTCAAGTGGGGTCCCCAGCCCTTAAAGGACTTCTGAAAGAGTCAACCTGAGACTGTTTAGAAGCTGAATTGAAAAGAGCGGGATCCTCTCCCTCACTGACAAGGACTACAGCTAGCTAAAGACCACAGTTGTTGCCAGCTACCCCCAGGTTCTGAGTAGAGTCCAGATTCTGGACCATCGGGGGAAGATCGGGACAATCAGTGGATCACACATGCCTAGCACTGGAATGCACTTTGATGGCGACCACTGTCAGGAAGCAATTCCGGACATCAAGAACGGCTGCCTCCCTCCACTGCCACCTCTCCTCTCCTCGGCCTCACAGCTCCTGCTCCTGCTGCTGCCTCCCGAGCCTGCTTCCCCTTCAGTCTTCAACTGCAAACACTACTTAACTAAATAACATTGCTGGGTGTGGTGGCACATGCCAGTAGTCTGGGTATTCAGGTGACTGAAGCTGTGGGTTCAAAATGCTGAGGCTAGCCTGGGCTACAAAGGAACCTGGAGAAGGAACGGAGAAGAGGGAAGGCGAGTGGCAGTGCATGAACATGGACAAACCCCGTGTTTGATCCACGACCCTTAAAACAAACATCCTCTCCAGGGAGTCTTCCACCTTTCCTAACCCACCCCACACTCTGCCCCAGGCCAGCTAGTAACAGTTATGGGCGGCTTCAGGAAGACCACGGTTCGTTCCATTATCAAAATAAACCCTAAGCCCACAAAAGCATTAAAAAAAAAAAAAGTTTATTGGAGCATCAGGGCTGGTGGAGTGGATATTGCTGAGTCTTGGGCAAGGGAGGCCGATCCCGCCGGCCTTGAGGCCCGCATTCGGTGCGGCAAAGATGGGGTGTTGCATAGAGTCGGGCCGGCCATTCCTCCACGGCCCTCCTGCCTCCAGTCCGCACTAAGGCAGACAATCTTCACCGCCGCCAGGTGACCCGGGCTCGCCACTGCTCGGGCTCACGAACACGGCCGGCGAACGTGCCTGTAGCGCCAGCCCAGACTCTCGGCCCCTGGCTCCTGGGGCGCCCAGTGCGGCACTGCCCAGGCGTGTCTGGGCCACTGGAATCTCTTCCATGGACTCGGCTGATGCGGAGTAGTAGGCGCCTGGGCTGGCACTGGTGGAATCCGACGAAGAGCTGGAGTGGCGGCCAGGGGTCCCAGTCTCTGCACAGTGAGGGAAACTTTGCTGAAGGCGAGGGCTGCAGCTAAGGTTTTAAAACCTTTCCCTCCCTCGAACTAACCCAATAGAATCCAAGCAGAGAGGAGTGCTCACCCCGTAACCTGGGCAGCGGGGGCTCCAGGTCCAAGACCCCAGACCTTGGCAATCTATAAACACGCCGCTTCCTCTTTTTCTGCAGAGACAGAGACAGTGTGGGTCACTTCCCCAGACCTCACTTTGCCAAAAGCAGCAGAGGTACTCCTAAGAGCGGAGGCTTCTTTTCCGTCTCCCTCTTCTTGGGCAGAGGATCAAACCCAGTCCCTCCTACCTGGGGTTGGATCCGTGGAGGCAGAGCCAGTGTGTCTGAGGAGGAGGGCAGTGGTGGTTCCACTTGGCCTTGGGTGGCAAGAAACTGGGAAGGACTGAGGTAAAAGCCAGAGAGCAAGCTCTAGATGCTGCCCCGGAGCCCCTGCCTGCTAGAGGTTCCTGTCCTAGCAGGGCAGAGAGACACTGATCCATCCAAGACTTTGCTAAACTGGACTCAGACACATGTTTTGACCCTGACCTACCTCCCTTTCTCCCACCACCCATGGGGACAGCCAGGTAGTACTTACTTGGCATTTAATGCTGCCGGCCTGGCCTGGCCAGAGGGCTCTGGACGCACATGGCTGAAGTTCCTCATGTAAAACTCCATCTCCTCGGGAAAGAGGGGGTCAGGAAGGCTGGGAGGCTATGTCTGGATCCACAGCCTCCTAAGCCCTGGGCACACCTTGTCACTGTCCTCTATAGAAGCTTGGTGGCCTCATGTCCCAAGGGTCTTAGGGCTGTCTTCCTAGATCTCAGATGGGCTAGGAAAACCCTTCTGTAGGGCAAGGTTTCAAACACTCATTTCTAGATCTCACGCCATCACAAGGACTCTCTTCAGCTAGACAAACTCCAGTTATTCTACTTGAGGAAGGCTGCAGGCCCTCAGGTCCAGTATGCTCAGACTGGGCAAGCATAGCCAAGAGGTTCTTAGGGACAAGACAAGAGTGGCCCTCATCTGCTCCTGACTCCTCTTGGGGCTACAGTCACTCAACTAACTTGTTCAGGCCAGCAGTTTGTGTGCTCCAGCACTAAGGGGTCAGTCCAGCTGCATACTGAGTACACCCCTCACTCTCAAAGAACCAGGAGGATGTGGGTACAATCATTGTCCCTGTTCCCCAAAAGGAAAGGGTGCAGGTGAGGAAAGAGTACCGCAGCCCTGAATCTTGGTTCATACAAAGAGAACTCGAAGGCGGTCGAAGTAAGGAACCCTGAAGCAAAAGGGCTGGGAGTGACTGGGCCGGCACCTCCGTGTGCCCGACGCCTCCAGCTTTGCTGGAGAGAACTGCAGGTGAAGAAATAAAAGCCCGGGAAAAGCCAGCTCAGGAAGGGCGTGGGGCAGAGGGCAAAGGGCGGGGCCAGTGAGCTGGAGGGAGCACCCAGACAGCTGTCGCCTACTAGGCAGCCGTTTCCATGGTGACACAGGCGTCCTGAGTAAGGCAGAGACGACACTGTAACAGAAAGCCGTCTCTAAAACAAGCCTATGTTTTGGGGGCAACGGCTCTAGAGAGGGGCCCCTCCCAAATTCCTGCTGGGTGGGGGTGGGAGGCTGCCTGCTGAGTCCCTGAGAGTTTTAGGGACTAGGATAAGGCCCAGCCAACCACTGGCTGACTGCACAGGTGCAAAAACTGAGGCCACAGATAAAGCCCCATGCTCAAACTCTGCCAAGATGACCCTCTGGGAAGGATCTGGGGAGACCTGTCCAAGCAGAGCAGCACGGGGCCAGAAGCTAGTCCCAGGTCCTGGAGCCTTCAGGTCACTGGCCTCACACCTTTCTCCTGCACAGCACCCAGCAGAGGGGACCCTAGTCTCCGGGATAGAACAGAAGTCAGGTCCTAACCAGCTAAAAGGAAGTCTGAAGATATCACCAGGAGGTGTCCACGCAGCCTTCCCTCCTCTCTTCAAAACTGATCCTCAGGTTCCTTCCTCAGAAACCTTCAAACATTTGCACATTCCTGAATGGCACTTTGGAACCTCTCAGTCATAGCGTTCTCTCTTCTGTAAAAGAGGACAAGCACCCTGCTCCTATGGGGGAGGCTTCCCTCGAGTTAGCTGTAGACAAACAGAATTGACTTAAAAGTCTTTGCTGTTGCCACAGCTTGGCCCCAAAGGTACAGGACCCTGAAGTCTGGGCATCCCCGAGCAAGTCTTGCCAACTCACTCGACGGGTACTCTAGGATGCACACAGCTCAGAGCCCAGACCAGGGCAGTTATGTGACAGGGTGACGGGGTTCTCTACCAGTTGCTAGTGCTCCTCAGCCTGGCCCATGAGCTGGGTTCAAGCCCTGGGGAATGAGAAAAGGAGAGGCGGGGTCCTTCTCCAGCCCGCCCACCAGCCTGTGTTTGTATCTAGTTGCCATGAAGATTTGGGATCTCAGCCTTTCCAGCAAAGCCTGCCTGGGCCCCCTGCCTTTCCAGTCCCTAGGGCCTCTGAGGACTGGACCACCTCCATCTCCAGCTGCTGACCTCAGGAAGCCAGGGGGCGTGGGAATGGGGATAGGCTGGTCAGCAGCTGGGCTGGCCAGGCCAAAGCCTAGGTTGTGGGGTTCCTGCTTTGTCCTCTATGTGTAGAAGTCTTAACTCTTCCCAGACCAGACTTCGGTTTAACCTTTCTGAACCTTAATGTGCCCATCTCTAACACAGACTGTTAACAGTTGCCCCTATTCTAAAACTAAAATAGGATAATAGGTAAGAAGTCAAGATTACAGATGAAGAGAACCGATGGTTATGGCCTAACTAGTCAGTTGTCAACCAGTGGTCAACTTCCTCTCCCAAATGCCTGGTGCCTGGACAGGAGGGCACAGGATTGCAGAAACCTCGGGGCTCCTTTTGGTTATGTTGGTGCCCATGGGCCCAGCAGAGGCTGGGTCCTGCTTCCCAGGACTTACTCCAGCTGCTGCCCTAGGCTTGCTTCCCTTGCAATGGACTCCTCAATGGCTCTTACTGCATGGCCCCACTCCCCACCACACACATACACTCACGCCCAGGGCTCTGGGCCACCTCTATACCTGAATGGGCCGCATCTTGCGGGGACACGACTCAAGCTCCTTGTGGGTCTCCTTTGCTTCCTGGGCTGGGCGGTGCTGCACGATGTACTCATAGGTGGTAAGCTTGTGCCACACTGGTGGGTATGGGAAGAGAGGGGTCAGTAGTGGAGAGGTGACACCGGAAACTGGAAGGGCGGGCAGCCAGTACCAGGTTCAAATCCCTAGCCACAAATATACTAAGCAGTGGGGCAAAACCAGGCCTACCACAAAGAACTGGCACTGGATTTCAAGGCTCTACAGGTCAAAATGGTACCTCCCTGCCGCCGAGACCCCTCCCGTTCAGTGCCAGCCTGGAGGAGGCACTCACTTAGATAGATGTGGAAGCAGAGAAGGTGGCCGAGCAGGGCTGTAGAAAGCAGGCCTAGGAGGATGAGTAGGGCAGCCAGGGCCAGGATGGCAGGAGCCTGAGTCTCCACAGGGGCAGCAGGCAAGAACACAAACCACACATCTGTGTGATTCTTCAAGACTGCAAGGCATAGGCAGTCTGTGCTTAGCCAGGGGCTGGGGGGTGCACTGACTGAAACATGTCTGTGTCTAGAACCCACACTGACCTTCAAAGTGTTGGTTGGTACGAAGCTGCATAGGGTTGACAAAGAACTCCACGAAGACATATGTGGCCACCAGCACCAGGAGCAGAACACCCAATAAAGCAGATGCCACACTGTGTAGAAAGAGCCTGGCCAACCACAGGAAGCTGTGAGCACTCAGGACCTCGAGCTTGGTAACAGCTAGAAGCCCAGAAGCCAGGCTCCTGACCCCAAAGCCCCAACTCCTCAGAAGTCAGTCATAGAACCTTAAGAGGCAAACACTTATCAGGCCCCCCATCTTTGTCTGAACCAATAGGATGGAAGACTCCAAACCCACCCTCATCCATCCCAAGTACCACCTTCTCAGCATGCACACATCCCTACCCACAACTGTGCACCACATTACAAGCAGTCTACAATAGAGCCCAGACTCAGAGGGCATGAGTCCCCAGGCCCCAGGTGACTCTCACCGATAATTCCTCTCGCCCACGCAGTTGTTGAGCCACTTGCAATGATGGTCGAAGCCGCAAACGCACTTGTTACAGGCGCTGCAGTGTTTGGATCGCGCACTCCTGCGGAGGGTTGGGGAAGGCACCTCGCATCGGCCAGCCAGCCCACCTTGGCAGGTGTAGCGACCAAGTCAGGCCTGGTTCCTAATTACCTACAGGCATCTCCGCCCCTCCCGGAGCGCTGCAATGAGGAGCACACGCGCCCTCTGGCGGAAACACAGGGTGGGACACCTAGAGAAGTTTCTGAGAACCATGGTAGAGGGAAGAGGGGGTGCTCTGTAGGGTCTTACTCTGGAACTACATACCTAAGTAAGGTTCACATGAGAAAGAAAGGGGGCGTCCTTTCCAAGCAAGGACCTCTGTACCAGACCACACACAAGATGCAGGTACGGAACCTGAGGCAGAATGCACAGCTGCCCAACTGGTGCTTTAATTGCACTTCTAACAGCCCCATTTTGGGGTCCCTTTCCTTGCCATCCTACGGGAATTTTTCTGGCACTCTCCCAGAAGGCCTGTGTGGGCTAACTGTAATGGAGCCGAAAGGAGAGGTGTTCACTGTCGTCTAGGGGCGTTAAGGAGACCCGTGGGCAAGGAACACGTGAGAGAATGCCACATTAGGAGACAAGTGGGGTCTCCCCCAGGAGGCACAAAGTAAGACCCAAATGAGTATGGCAGGATCTCTATCCATTTCATGGAAAGGAAGTGCCAGAGCCACTCAGCGCGTGCTAACTGCTGCTTAGGGAACGGCAATAGGCCTTCCGGTTCCTGTACACAGACCCCCCTCTAACACGCTACTTTAAGCCTTCAGGTTCCAAGAGTGGAGCTGCCCTTGGGCTACACGCTCTCCCTCAACCCATACCTGAGTCTCGAGATTTCGAAACTCCAGTAATGTAGGGAAGAGTCCTAGAGAGGCACTGGGATTTGCCAAAGGAGACCGGGTGTTCTGTCTCCTCAATAGCAGTAAGACACGGAAGCAAGCACTGGGGGTAGGGGGTACACAGCTAATGCGGCCTTGACTCTGCTGCTCAGTAGCTTTGTGGCTTCAGTTCACCTCCTAGCTTTCTGAGCAGTAGGTTCTGGCTCTTTTGTTAAAGAACACGGCACTTAGCTCAGAACACGTAAGGTTGACCTCCCTCCTGCCCCTATCTGGGTGCAGTGAAGATGTCACTGTCATTTAGAATTGTGGTGCTGCCAAGTGCCTCCTGCTTTCGCTACCGGAAATGCTAGCCCTCATCCTCTCTCCCAACTACCCTCAAGTCACTCCGCCAAGACTTTGTTGTTGTTTTTGGTGGCAGTGGTTTGTTTGAATCTGTGTCTTACTATGTAGCCCTGGCTACCCTCAAGCTCACTGAAATCCTCCTGCCTCAGCCTCCCAATTGCTGGGATTACAGGTATGCACCACCATGCCCAGTTCTACCAAGACTTTTTCTGCTTTGTTTTTGAGACAGGATCTTACTAGCTGTCCTGGAACTTAACACGTAGACCAGGCCAGCCTGAACTCCCAGAGATCTGCCTGCCTCTTGCCTTCTGAGTGCTGGGACAAAAGGTATGTGCCAGCACACCCACCCTCCAGCACAACTCTTGACTATGCAAAGTACAAGTGTTCAGGGGCATAAGTATGAGTGTGGAGCCTGGCGCAACCCTCTGGTCATCCTCCAGGCGCGCTCACGGGCCACCCACTCACTCGCAAGCATTCACTCACACGTCCACGTCGCAGAGGTTGCAGTGCAGGTCCTCAATGACGTGTGCATGCTGGCTGCGGTTGAAGATGGGCAGGGGTCCAGAATAGCTCTTGTCTCGCACATTGGCATCGGCTGGATCGATGGAGACAGCAGTCAGGTGCACCACTAGGTGGCCAGCAAAGATGGCACCCATGCACTAGCCCAGCAGGTTAAAGACTCAGTCCGTACACTGGAAACCAGGAGCCCCACCCACTTTCTTGGACAGAGGACTTCCCTGTCCATGCAGATTTCCTTTGTACAGAGATTCTGCCTGTACTATGTTCTCCTGCCCCTCACCAGATATTTTTATCAGACCCCTAAACCCTCAGCAGAATAGGGTCCTATGACAATGGAGCCCAAAGGTCAGTACTATGTACTACTGCCACCAAGGGGTCTAACCACAAGGCTTAGGCCTTGCCAGTTTCTTGCCTCAGATTTCGGAAGGTGAAAGAGTCTGAAAGCCATCATCCCCTAAGGTCCAGAGACTAAAGCTGAAATTCTGAGCTTGGTTTCCTTGCTCTCACAGGAAGCAACTTCCAAGATGGAAGCAGCTGCCCCCTTTCAATAGCTGGGGCCAGATGGAGAACCACTTGCAGACAGGACTAATCTACTGGCTGCCTCCCCACCTCAAGCCCAGGTGCTTGGCACCCTACACTGAGTGTCTGGGATAGCCTCACATGGTCAGGGCTAGCCAGGGCAGTGTAGCTAACTCCTGGAACTAACACAAGCATTTCCCATGACTTTGCAGAGCCAAATACAGGAAATGAGTAGGCTGCTGACTGGCTGCAAAGTCTTCACACAGCTCACTGACAGGCTCCACCCAGGCAGATACTTCTCGTCCGTCCGTGTTCATCCTTTGCTCATCAGCTGCCCAACAGCCTTTTCACTCTCCCTCAGTAGCCAGATTCCTCTGTCTGCATGAGCTTGGCTCTTCCAGAATGTGCTGTGCCACAGCTGAAGAGCCGCATTTGTGCCCAACACTGAGCTCTCCATCCCATGGCCAGGGCTATGGGTCAGCTCTCTGCCTCTTGCCTGGGTTACCTGAAAACCTCCCTCTTCTCCAGAGTCTACCCTTTCTGTGTTCCAGGAGAGAGTTTCCAGAAGCCTGCACTTTTGCTCTTCCCTGCGTCAAGGCCTCCAGTGACAACGGGCTCTCTAGATGAAGGTCATGCCTTAGCCCAGGGTCAAAGCTCGCCCTGCTCTGGCCTCTCCCAACTCTTGCCACTCACTGTGGGCAAACATTTAGCTTCCTGCCTGCCTTCTCTCGGCTTTCCCACCACTCCACTCACTCAGCTGTTTACAGGGTTCTTCCCTTTGCACCAGGCCTGAAGGAATATGGAAAGGGTGGGTCCTGGGCCCTGAGACGCCCGCTGTGCGACGGAAAACACAGGCAATAATCAAATAACAGGCCGTCCATCTGTCTGTACTGATGGCTCCATCTCCTCAGACAGGATCTTTCTGGAAGCAAAAACCTATATTTTGGTTACAGCCATCTTAAGTTCACAAGTTAAGTAAGCTATTCAGAAGCCTCTGTAGGGAAAGTTCCAGGGTCTTCTTATCTCCCTGTGAGTTAAGAGTGTCTACAGGCCTGCAGATCTGTGGATCCCAGGCACCAGAAGTGATTAGCATTTCCCCCTGTAAATATTTACAGACCCTCAGCATCCCCTTATCTCTTCCTATCAGCTAGGGGGTGCCTCCAGACCTGACATTCCAGCATCCTACCTCCCCCCCTGCCTGTTAGCTATATAACGCTCCTGAGAAAAAATAAAGTTGGCAGCTTGATCAGAAAACAGACTTGCTGTCCATTTCTTGTGTCTCTTGCCCCTCCATTCCTCTTTTCCAGGTTACCAGGGACCCTGATTCCTGTCCCGCTGGTCGGGACAGATAGTGCTTGAACAGGAACCTGAAAACACCGTGGAGGTCTGGGAGACTTCTCTAAAGAAATGTCGTCGCAGCTGACACGTGGAAAGGAATGTCTAACAGGGCCTTGGAAGGGAAGGCAGAGGGAAAAGGGCTGGGCTGTCAATCAGAGGGATGGCTCACAACTGCCATATAAGAATGAGGATCTATGCTGCCAAATTCTGAGCTTTCAAAGGGAATTCTAAAAAATCTACATGGTGCACACCCAGTACTTAGGAGGCAGAGACAGGCGGATCTTTGTGAATTCAAGGCCAGTTCTGGTCTCAGAGTGAGTTCCAGGTAAGGCTCCAAAGCTACAGTGAAACCCCATCTCAAAAAGAAAACTAGAAGACCTGTACATTTTTGGTATTTATCATCCTACAATTTTACACAACTTGCCAAGCAGACTGGCCCAATGGGATGTCAGCTCTTGACCTCTGACTCAGCTGCTGAGGCAAGGGCTTCCAGGAAGAGATCACTGTTGTCAAAACAGGGAAAATAAATCTGAACAGACAGGCAGACTTTACATACAGAAAGTCATGGAGGCTGAATGGGAATCATGAGCCTCATTTCTTTTTTTTTTCAAAGATTTGTTTATTGTGTATAAAGCATTCTTCCTGGAGATTATATATATGCACTCCAGAAGAGAGCACCAGACATCACTATAGACGGTTATGAGCCACCATGTGGTTGCTGGGAATTGAACTCAGGACCTTTGGAAGAGCAGCCAGTGCCATTATCAGTGTGTGTGTGTGTGTGTGTGTGTGTGTGTGTGAGAGAGAGAGAGAGAGAGAGAGAGAGAGAGAGAGAGAGTTCAGAGTGCTCTGGCTGCAGGTATCCAGGAATGGAGTACGCAGGGAGATTTACTTGGAAACTAAGCAGCCATCTAGATTAGAGAGGCAAGGAGCGGTGGGAAGGAGCGGTGGGAAGGAGCGGTGGAAAGGAGCGGTGGGGACTAGGGAAAGAGGTACACTCCACAGTCCTATGACTAACTGGCTACCAGCAGTGGAGGGAGGGGGCCGTCCATGCAGATGAGGCCGGGAGAAGGGGTTGCAAGCAGCAGGTGCGCTGCTAGGCTGCTACAGATGATGCCATTTTTCTGCTCCCCATCTGCTGTCTGAGGCCCTTCCCAACATCTGCATGGAGTATGACCACTGTGCCCCACCTGTCAATCTGCCCTCCTCCTGGCCCTTAAGCACCCAAAGCACCTTTGCATTCCTGAAGCTCAGGCCCATTCTGGGCCCACAGTGGGGACTTGGTCCCCACTTCACTCTCAGAGGCCCTGAGAACTTGCTTTAACGGAAGGAGATTTTGATGGAACCATACAGCCTTGGTCAGACTGCCAGGCTAGGTGGCTCTGGGAGCATCCATGTGGCTCACAGAAGATAAACAGAAAATATGAAGTAGACCAAACCCTAAAATCATTCCATTCCCCAGCCTGAGCAGCCCTTCTGGCCTCGCTGGGTACCAGCTGTGTGACCGGAGGAAGTCACTATCCTGTCTGAGCCTCTTTCTTCATTTGGTCTTGAATGAGAAATGTCCCCATGTGTTCATGAATTTAAACTTGGTCACCAACTGGTGGCGCTGCTTGGGAGGTTGAGGGCTTGTAGGAGGTGCAGGCTTGCTGGAGAAGTCCACCACTGGGGGGCAGGATTTGAGGGTTCATAGCCTTGTTCTACTTCCTGCTAACTCTCTCTGCTCCCTGTGTGCAGTTGAATGTGATCAGCTTTCCTGCCTCATGCCCGCCACCTGCCACGCTTTCCCACCATATGAATCCTATCCAGCACCAGGAGCTGACACAAACTCTTTTTTCTGTCACTAGCTTTGGCTGTGGCATTTTGTCACAGCTGCAGAAACATAACTAGCCCACTGCACGAGTGGGGAGAAGGCCTTCCTGACAGGGTTGTCACACCGCCCTGTCAAGTGTGTGGCACATGTAAGGGCCCAATCGGTGCTACTTTGTTTGCTGTCACTTGCTCTGACCCTCCTCACTCCAAGCCTAGTGCCTGAGGGGACCTGGGTGACCTGAGTCAGGGATGGAACTACTTCAGACCACAGGAGACTGTCCCACCTAATCACATGAAGGCCCACAGTCATCTTAAGGAAAGTCATTTCCTATGCACGGACCCTGCTGTTGCTCTGACCTTGGCTCCTGTGAACCAGGAAGCCCCCCCCCCCCCCCCCCCGCAGACACTGCTAATGTCCAAGGATGACAACTTTTCTTTAGAACCCCTCTACTCGACTGCCTTTGCCACTCACCAGCCCAGGGCTCAAGAAAGCACACTTGGATTAACAGCTGGAGCCCTTTACGTTCACAAACCTCCTAATAAGCCCTCATTGTCATCCCAGTCCTTAGAAGCAAACAGAACCCCTTCCTGTGCACCAGAGAGCTGCAGAAGCTCCTCTGACCAGCACGGCCCAGAGGAGCCTGAGCTGAGAGCAAGCCCTGCAGACATGTGCTCTCCGTCCTAGCCTTACCTCCCTCTCTCAGGGATCCTCTTCAGGAGGCTGATGCCAGCAGACAGTGAAGGAACTCTCTGATGGGTACACAGGGGTTTACTGCATCCTACACCCCGCCTTGTAGCATGCCTTCTGTCCTTGGGGGTTGCAACCAGGGCTAAGACAGCCAGGCCATATGACTCAAGCAAGTTAGTGTTTGTCACTGTTCCCAGGAGCTTGCAGGGCATTTCTATGCCACCTTTTGCCATAGCAACCCTCATCCTAACACCAATAAGCGTGCAAATATTCCTAGGCATAGCAAAATAATGTCTATAAATAAAACCACATTTGAAATGGACCAAGAAACTCACTATGTAGGAAAACTGCACCGTGACAAATCCCTTCGCAGTGGAATAACTGCTCCCTAACTTGCTGTTTCAAATGAGCGCTGAACCCAGGACCTTGCACATGCTGGGCAAGTACTCTGCCAGCTGAGCCATGTCCCCACCCCCTCATTTCCCTTTCTTTGCTCAGGCATAATCAGTCTGAAGAAGCCTTAGGAATCTCTGTCAGATTTCCTTCTCTGGAATTCTGTGCTCTGAGGAGCTTTGGGGCTGCCCACCCACTTTATCAGAGGAAGGGTCAAGTGAGAAGTCCAAGCCTGGCAGAAAATCAGCCGAGTGAACCCTGCTCTACACCACCACGAGCTCCCTAAGACCCTGAGCCCAGCCTCAGGCTTCTGCCTTCTGCTATCTATCCATCTCCCCAGCTTTTCTGGTCCCATATAGTCCAAGGATACGGCATAGCCAGCAGGCACCCAGGGGTGAGGCAGGAGGGGAACAAGCACCCCAAAGCCAATCACAGCGAAGAAGAGGTAGAGCAGCCAGGCCACAATCTGCAGCGGGTGGGGGGGCCAGCTCCATCCGTTCCGGCGAGACCGCTGGCCCTGCAGTTCTGGGGAAGGGCCACTGTTCTGGGAGGGCGCTGTCCACACGCTCTTCTCAGGGGCTGTCTTGTTGGAGGGTTTGTTGCAGATGTTCATCTCCAGGGGGAGAAGAGTAGACAGCATTAAGCCCCAAAAGGCCCCGTGGGAGTGCAGGGCCCTGGCTGCAGGCAGGATTTAGCAGGAGCATAGGGGCCAGCAGGCTGTACACTCTGCAGGGGAATCTGGGGTCCTAGCCTGACGGAAATAGACAGTTCTCTAAACCTCGAGAACAGATTCTGACCCCAGCCTAGCCAGGTCAAGGGAGGTTGGTCCGGAGTCATTCAGGACACAGTGTGGCTGCCCATTACTCAAAGTGTTTCCTCTCCACAGCCATAAGAGTGAAACTCAATAAGACATGTTCTCATCTGGTAACAATATCAAGCTGGGGCCAGGGCGATGAGAACACATGCTGATTCTGTTAGGATTAGTCACCTCTGTCCCAAGATCCAAATCAAGTGTCAGAGAGGGCCCCCCCCCAATCCTCTGCTGAGGGAAACAGGCAATGGGGGTGTTCAGAAAGGAGATCTGGCCTCAGCTGCTTAGCAGACACAGTCCCTTTAGGACCAGGGACCAGGAACTTCTCCCCTGTACTGCAGAGGGGCTCTCTATGGCTGCTTGGCGGAGGATGAGCCCGCACACAAGGGAAGGGAGGATTCTTCTTGGATTTCTTCTGGCAAAATAAATGACCACGCTTCTCCCAGCCAATCTGGGCCTGGTGTACAGATTTACCAGAAGGGTAAGGGCCATTGAGAGAGCTCCAAGAAAGGTCAAGCCTTGGCCACAGCCAGACCACCAGATGGCAGCAACCCCCTACCCTGGCCTGCCTTGCACAGCCCAGCTGCTGGCCAAGGCAGTAGAGGCAGTAGGACCAGTTTGTCCTTACAGGAAAAAGAGCCCTGCCCACTAGTATCTTCTAGACTGACAAACTAAGCAAACACTGTCACACCTCGGGAAAGAGGCCAGTTCTGAGCTCGTGGTGGGAAGGCCAGGAGCTAGCAACAAAACCCAGGCAGCTAGATAATCCTTTCGGGAGCCCATACCCACAGATCAGCAATCTCTATTATGATTTGAATCTGCAATGTCCTCCTATCTAGAAGTGCAGCCTTGGGGAGCTTTTGGAAACTCTGGGAGGTAGGACCTAGTTATGGGAAATGGGTCCCTGGAGACGGGCTTAATGATGTTGTCCCTGCCTACCTCCTGCCTTGCTCTCTACTGCCTGGTCTGCTATGATGTAAAACAGCTTCCACCACCATGGAAAGAGCTACTCCAGTACGATGGGCTGGAACCCTCGGAAACAATGAGAAATGCATCCTTGCTTCCTGGGAAGTTCCTGTTAGGTCTGTCATCGCAGCTATGCCAAAGCAGACAATAAACTAACAAAGCAAAGGAGGGCAAGCAACATTTCCACCTGGAGTGACTGGCTTCACAGGCCACAGAATGTAACTGGTCCGTCCCTGTTCATGGCAGACATCCACTAATTCCACAGGGTCCCCAGCAAAGTCAGGGGCCCTTGTGCTCAGTCCTGATTAGGACTGTAACTGCAATTTAGAATATTCTGCCATCCCCACGCCTCACCACACTTTGTCTCCCTCAAAGACAGTGAGCATGCTGTAATTCATTCACCTCTGTACCCCACGTCTCCTCCCCCAAGGATCAGGAGCTATACCTTGTATATAGTAGATGCTCACTGAAAGTTCGATGACTTGAAAACTTCTGAAATAAAAGCAAACGTGTGTCAGATAAATGGTATATGGTTTTGGTCAACCAAGGCCGAAGTGACTAAGGTGACTGTCTTGTCCTGACTCCATTCTGTGGTTGCTTAGACCGTTCTCAGCAGTCCACCCCAGCAGTCACGTCTGCTTTGGCAGCACACTTGGGGTTTCCATGACCCTGACCAGAGTCCAGATGTACTAACAAAATCATTAATGTTTACGCAAACTTAAACTGAAATAACTGACGGTATGGTATAAGTCAGAGTAATTGTTGTGTTATGTCTGAAATAACTACCGTGTTTATGCCTAAACAAATGTTGCAAGGTTACTCTGACCTTCATCTGACATTGAAGTCACTGTGTTTTTTGTGGGTTACCTTTAAAAATCACTGTACCCTGAGCTTCAGCACTAAGAGACTTTACAGCATGAACGCACTCTTGGTTGCTGGCCAAACTGAAAGAACTCCATATACTTAGGAGACTCCCAGCTTTGGAAGAAACAGGTCTAGGTAGGTTTTGGGCTTTGCACTTAGCTGAGAGAGCTGAGAGGACCGGATTTACTCCTCTGAAAAGTAGGGGTATGGATGCCCCCTAGGCTGCATAGTTTAGTGATGCTACAGGCATCAAGTAAATGCGCACCACGTGGTATATGTTAAGTACCTCAAATAGCTCTCCGGTTTGTCTTCTATCCCTAGGTTGCAGCTACTGTGTCTGATCCTACAAAGTCCTTGTCCAAAACGAGAGGACTGGCTGAGGTTGCCACAGGAACAAGAAAACAGACTTAAAGCCCAGACTTGCAGCCTGCCTACATGGGTAGCTCAGTGATAATGGACTTGTCTAGCATATGTGAGGCCCTAGATTTAGTCTTTTGTTTGTTTTGTTTTGTTTTTCAAGACAGGGTTTCTCTGTAGCTTTGGGGCCTGTCCTGGAACTCACTTTGTAGACGAGGCTGGCCTCAAACTCACAGAAATCCACCTGCCTCTGTCTCCCGAGTGCTGGGATTAAAGTCATGCGCCACCACCACCCGGCTTTAGATTTAGACGCACACATGAGTACACACACTCTTGCATTTAGGATAACTCAGAAAAGTACAGTTATTTCAATCCACCGTATGATAAAAATGATAGGAAAACCATTTAGTTGCCCTCAGAAAGAAATGTGTATTTTTAATCCAAACACTATTACCCAGACCTTAGCAGGTTTATCCCATAATTGTTATAAAGCTAAACTGCCAAAATTTGTTGACCAGAATATTTTGACTTGCATTAATGCTTTATATCTTTGTATATTCAATATCCATACACATACAAGGTGTGGTGCACACACCTTTAATTTCAGGAGGCAGGCAGACCTCTGTGAGTTCAGGGACAGCCTGGTCTACCTGGTGAGTTGTTCCAGGGTAGCCCTGAATATACAGTGAGACTATGTCTCAAAAACAGAAGTTCTCATAGACAATGGGGAAACAGCCAATGCCTGACCCCTCGCCCTATTTTTTCACTCACAAGCATACCTTTGTTTATCCTACTTTCTCTAAGACAAGGTATCTCTATGTAGCTCTGGCTGTCCTGAAGCTTGCTGTGTAATTAGGTTGGCTTTGAACTCACAGAGATTCACCTACCTCTGCCTCCCAAATGCTGGAATGTAAGGTGTTTGCCACTATGCCTAGCCAAAACCATATATTTTGATACCTTTTGATCCTTTAAGAGGGAGAAAAGTCTAACATTCAGAACTATCAATAATAGGAAAAGAGAGAAAATTGTTTCAAGGCAAGCTCTTACTTACTATGTAGCCATAGCTGGTCTTAACCGCCTGCCTCTTCCCTCTGAGTACTGGGATTACAGGCATGTGCCACCACACCCAGCTGCGAAGAAAAGGTTGAGAATGAAATAATCTACATCAGAATAGCTTCTGTGTGCACGCGTGCACGTGTTCGTGTGTATGTGAGGGGTATGCGTGGGTATGCCTACAGAGGCCAGAGGATAACCTTGGTGTTACTGCTTAGGTGCCATCTGCCCTTATTTGCTTGCTTATTTATTCACAGCAAGTGTGTGTGCACAGGTGCATGAGTGCAGGGTCCCAGATTACAGAAGAGGTCACCAGATCCCCTGGAACCGGAGTTACAGGCCGTTATAGACATTTGGTGTGGGTGCTGGGAAGCAAAGCATCCAAGTTCTCTTCGAGAGAAGCAGGTGCTCTTGCGCACTGAACCATCTCCCCTGCCATCTACCCTCTCAGAGAGGACAGCTAGAGCAAAGTGAGTCGCCATGTGGATGCTGGCAATTGAACTTGGATCCTCTAGAAGAGCAGCCAGTGAGCCATAGCTCCACGTCCAGGAGATCTGACACCTTCTTCTTAGCCTTCACGGGCACCAGGCATGCACATGGTACACTGACATGTATGTAAGCAAAACGCTCATACACAGAAAAGATAAAAGAATAATTGTAAAAACATTTATTTAAATTTATGGGCATTTTGCCTACATATATGTCCAGGGAGGTCAAAAGAGGATACAGGGTTGCCTGGAATGAAGTTACAGATGGGTGTGAGCCACCATGTGGGTGCTGGGAATTGAACTCAGGTCTTTGGAAGAGTAGTCCACCATGCCTGGCTTTTCCCATGAGTTCTGGGGATTCAACTCAGGTCTCATACCCACAAGGCAGGCACTTAACCAACTCCAGTTCCATAGTGGATTCTTAAGCATGTTCTCCACATATGTGGTGCGTTAAAACAATTGCTAAATGTCTGACACGGATAGTATACAACCAGTATCTTCAAAAACCCCAACTAGACCAACATCTCTGGCTGCCAGTAGAGCAGCGGAGGCCGTTCAGAGCAGTAGAGGAGGCGAAGGCTCGCTGCAGCCTCCCTGCACTCCGGCAGCACGGGTCTGTCTTGAAGGTTTTTTTTTTTCTTTTAAACGTGTGTGTGTGTGTGTGTGCGTGTGTGTGTGTGTGTGTGTGTGTGTGTGTACTGCTTGGAGGAGTATGTTCTCTCCTTCCACCACGTGAGTCTTGGAGTTCGAACTCAGGCTGTCAGGCTTGGCAGTAAGTGCCTTTACCCACTGAGCAATCTTCCTGGCCTGTTTTAAAGTGTTTAGTAATTTCTCATAACAGATACTGGAAAGAGAGTTTGAAAAAAAAAAAGAGCAAATACTTCAGTGATAGCATCTGACTTCACTAACTCCCACAGTGAGACCTGTAACGATGAGGCTTCTTTACCCCCCAAGTGGAGGGTGCATTCCTCCAAGTGGCTTTTGTAGCCAAAGTTTCCTGGGTGCTTTACCTCCAAAGGTTTTGATGTGCAGGCAGTCTGCTTTGCCCAAGCCCTGGCATGGACCATGCGCACATCTCCTTTAGCCGGACACTGGAGTGAGCATCGCAGAGTAGCTACAGCCTAACTGGGAACACAGTCCTGAAACTGCTTTCTTAAGGGATGGCCCCGAGAAATAAACATACTGCCACTCAAAAAAAAAATAAGTAAGATGGAGTCTCACTATGGTCACCCTAAAACTCATTATGTAGCCCAGGTTAGCTCAAACCCTTAGCAGTCCTCCTGCCTCATGACCTTGGGAGCTGAGATTACAAGTGTGAGCCAAACACGTGCCACTCAAGTGTTTGACACACAGTTCTCTATTTTTCCTTCTAATTTAGCTGAAGAACTAGATAATCTCACTAATGGATTTTCCATGTATCTCAACTTGCTGTATAGACCGGGATGGCCTTTGGATTTCAAGACTATGCCACCATACTGTCTTGGACTGACATTCTCTTGTCACTATGCCTCTTGCCACTACCAAAAATAGGGAATTATGATCAGTCACATGTCTCTGTTTTGTTCTTTGGGAACTGCCTCAAGGTACAGGGCTGTTCAGCTGTGGTGACAGAGAACGGGCAGGGCAATCTTAGGGTTCAAATTTAAATCAAAGGTGACAAAGAAAAAAAAAACCACAATTTTCTTGAGGACATCCCCAGGTGAGCAAATCTTTGTCCCTGGTTTGGTTTTTATTTGTTTGTTTGTTTTTTGTTGTTGTTGTTGTTGTTGTTTTTTGTAATACCCAAATACCCAAAGGTCATCAGGTCAAGCCCCGTAAATACAGCTGAGCTGGTAGTTCTCTGAGGCAGATCTCTGTGTACATGGCTTTTCCAGAACCACCCCCATCAGGGCAAATGTTCTGCAGTACTGGGAATTTTTTGACCTTGGGCCTTGCATTTACACATGCATCCTCTCCCTGGGCTCTAGCCTATCTGAGCCAACAAGCACGCTGAAGAGGACGCATGAATTTGATCCCAAAGCTTAGTCTTGCCTTTATCAACCCCACAAATGGAAAGTCCTATACCTGGCAGAGTTTGTTTCTCAAGAGAGAAGCAGGAGCATATGGCTGATATGATCCTAGTACTCCACAGGGGCCGCAGGCATCCCTTGTGTTAAACTATCCCAGAGTCCTGAGGGAGGAAAACTCACCATCCCAAGAAGGAAGTTTGCTGCTAACAGTCTTGGAGGCAGCTTTGACTCCAAATGAAGGTATTGTTGGTCTAGAGAAGTGCCACTTGCCTAAGACTTCAGAGGCAGGCATGGACAACACTCAGGAACAGACTCTAAGGACAGCGGGAGCACCCTGCCTGGCCCGAACCCTGAGAGAGCCAACTCCAAACTTGATAATATTTTCTATCATTGAACTGAAGGCCACAAATTTTTTTTTGGCCCAAAAAATTTCATTACAAGGGCTGGGAGGTCGGACCAAATCCAAAATGGGGCCCACAGATGAGACCAAGTATTGTCATCAGGCTTGGGGACTTTCTCTGGCTGTCCTTTCCCTCTCAGCAGCCCTCTGGGAGTCCAAAATGAAAGATATGTGGCTCCGTTCCCCCAAAACATGGCCAGATGGTGCACTCAACCCTTGGCCAGGCAAGGCTTCCTGGGGTCCAGTCCTGTGCATCCTGAAGGTATAAACACAGACGAGACTAGGTACCTGCCCTCTCCATCTTTCCTTTCCGAGGCCCAGAGAGACACATAGCACATCAAGGCAGTGGGTACCCGAGTATTAGGGCAGTGCTTTGCTAGGGAAGCCTCTCAGACAGAACATGGCAGGGAGCAGTGAGAGAGGAACCGTGGGGGCTGCAAGGCTGGGATCACTTGGGCCTAGGTAGGATGCTCTGGGCACTGAAGGAGCCAGAGTATGACGCGGCTTTGATTCCTAGTCTTAGTGGAGAAGAGGGCACAAAGAAGACCAGAAAGGACATGGGATGAGGTAATACCAGAAGGCTGGCCCAGGAGGGCAGTGGCTTGGCAACCCTGTACTTTAGAAGGAGCGCCAGAGAGTCAAGGTCAGGTGTACAGCTTCACCTTGCCCATACAAAACATACAGATGCTGGCATGGGTGGAAGGAGGAAATGACAAGGAAATGCACAGACTGTTAGAGGCACAAATATCTGTCGCCTAAGTCATGGACTTGCTTGACATCTGCAGAAGACTGAAGAGGCTATGCAGGCCTGTCCCTTGTCACTACAAGGCAAAGGCCACTGCCAGCATGACAATAATCTTTCCTATTTAACATTCATTTGCTAAAATCTTTACACAACATTTTAAAAATAAAATTAGTCTACCTTAATATATATGCTTAAATTCAATGAAGAAAATCTTAGCCAGGAGCGGTGACAAATGACCGGAGACAAAAGTCCAGAACTCTGGAGGCAGAAGCTGGTAAATCTCTGAGTGTGAGGCCAGTCTTGTCGTACATAACAAATTGCAGGCCAACCAACGTTACACAGTAAGACACTGTCTCAAAACAGCCAAAAAAGGAAAGAAAACCTTAACATTTTGAGTTCTCATAATGAATGGTATATAACAGTTGTATGACTGATCTACTTCCTGTCTGCCACTGCTTCAATAAAAACAACAAATTTAGGCAGTCAGGAGGCTAAGGCAGGAAGACCACTTAGCTGAAGAGTTCAAAGTCAACTTGGGCAACATAGAGAGACGCTGAGATCCTAGCTCAAATAATAACAATATTAAAAGCAGCAATAAATTCAGAATGTTGTTCTGAAATTCATGTGTGAGACAGCTAAAACAACCAGACTGGAAAGTCCTGGCCCTGGGGAACCTATGGGCAGCCCTGGATTCCTAAAAGATGTCTGGAGATGTCAGAATGAACTCAGTTAGTAAAGAGGCATGTCAAAGGCGGCCGAGAAACTGGGAAGGTTACGTTGCTTAGATCAGACAATAATAATAATAATAATAACACAAAGCCAGGCAGCGTGGTATATATCTTTAATGCCAGCACTCAGAAAACAGATCTCTGTGAGTTCAGGGCCAGACTAGTCTACATAGTGAGTTCCAGGACAGTCAGGGCTATGTAGTGAGATCCTGTCTTAAAACAACCGCCATTTTTGCTCCCCCCACACACACACACACACAAAAAAAATAGGCTGAACTGTAAGCTTAGAAGGCTCAGATTTTTAAGGTATAAATGGAAAAAGGCAGAAGAGGCAGGCTGGAAACAGGAACCAGGGCTGCCTGGAGAGGAACCTTCTTCTGGCTCTTCACTGCCGCTTACAGTGAACAAATTTCACAAATCCCACTTATTTGGGTGTCTTCTTTACTCATGTTTCAAAAGTTAGCAGGAAAGCAACTTGGCAAACCAAACCTGAGAACACATTTAACTTGTGGCCCAGACACTTCATTTCTGTATTTATCTTAGGCTCTCCTAACACACAAAGGTTCACTGCATTCTTCCTTGTAATAACAGAGCACAAAAACAAATATAAACATGTCATGGCATATGCACACAAGGCAGTGCTATGGAGCATCACAAACAAGAGACGACTTTATTCTTAAGCTGAAGTTAGGTGACCAAGCAAGACACACAATTGTAGAGTGAGCTATCAAATAAATAAAAACCAAGGCTGGGGCTGGAGAGATGGCTCAGCAGCGTAGCCTCTGTTGCTTTTACAGAGGACCAGGGTTCCGACCCTAGCTCCCACAACATGGTGGCTCAAAACCATCTTTAACCCCAGTTCCAGGAAATCTGACACCCTCTGCTAATCTCCAAGGGTACCAGGCACACTTATGGTACACAGACATACAATGCAGGTAAAACACTCTCAAACATAAAATAAGGATAAATATTAAGAAAAAAAATCTATTATCCTCTTATGAGAAAAAAAAAGCAGCCATAGCTCTTCCAGAAAGACTAGAGTTCAGTTCCCATAACATAAACCAGGAGGCTCACAGCCACCTGCAACGCCAGCTCCAAGCGATCCAATGCCCTCCACATATGTGACAGGTAGACACATACACAAATACACATATCAAAAAAAATTTTTTTTTAAAGGCCATCAGCATTTGGGAGGCTAAGGCTGGAGAGTTGCAACTTCAGGCCCAGCCTGGGTTACATAGCAAGACTGTGGAAAGAAACAAACAGCTCAGAAGGGATATTCAGACAGAGATCTGTGTTACCACAGGCACACATACTCTGGGAAGGAATGGCAGAACCCTAATGCGGGGTAATTTCCATGAAGATACAGTACCAGGGCGGGGTTAGACAGATGTGTTTCTGCCGTGGGTCTGCTGCTATTACTCAAGCTTTTTAGAAAATCATGGGCATTTACTGTTTAAAAAAAAATAGCTGGTCATGGTGGCACACACCTTTAATCCCAGCACTCAGAAGTGGGCAAGCTCTCTGTGAGTTCCAGGGCAGCCTGGTCTACACCGTAAGTTCTAAGACAACCAGAGTTACAAGGTGAGACCCTATCTAAAAAAAAAAAAAAAAAAAAAAAGTAAGGGAAGTAGGATAACTCTGTGGAAAGGCCTGAACTCAATCCCCAGAAACAACAACAACACAACACACACACTCATCAAATAAGCTACACTGAAAGGGTGTGTGTCACCTCTAGCTTTTTGTTCTACTGTGCCTCCATGTGAACCAGATGAACCTGTGAGACCCAGAGGTTTATACCAAGCCAGAAACCAGGGATTCCTGCCTAACGACCATTTGATAAGAGAGCTTGTTCAAGTGCTTTCTTACCCATGAAGGCAGCTCTGAGTCACGCAGGTCTGTAAGGAAGAGCCATGGAACCTTCTAGTACTGTTTGGGTCTTGTCAAAGTTGGAAACAGACTTTGGGCAGTACAATAGAGCTGCTGGGCAAGACACTGGTGTAGGCTTGACCAAGAAAGAGAGCTGCTCAATGCCCTGTGGCCCCAGAGCAAGGCAGAGGTGCACCCCACAGGAGAGGTGCACCCCACAGGAAAGGCACTTTACTGTGTCCTTGAGAGACTCCTCTGAGTAATTCTAAGTCACTTTTCAGCCTTTCCCAAGGATCTGCTTCTAGAATAATTTTCACTGAGATCTAACACACCTCAATTTAGACCACATAAAGGGGAGTGGGACAGAAAATGCTTCGTGGGGCACATTGGTTTAGTGGCGAGTCCTTTGTAAGAGCCGTCTACGGGCAAATACAGTGTTTATTAAAACTCTCCACAGGTGCCAGAAAAGCCTGTGGTCTTAAACTTTCTGAGAAGTAGCTATAGTTCAATTAAGAGATGCATAGCACATCATTTCCAGAAAACAGACTAGAACTTAAAGCTGTTCTCAAAGGCCTCCCTGCTCTTTGGTCTCCAATAATGTGGCTGGGCCTTTATTTTCCCTCTCATAAACAATATGTCGAAGTCCGTTGCTATAGCAAAGAAACCCTTGCAATCATTCCTGAGCTGACATGGTGTGCAAACACTTCTGCGTCGCTCTCCCCTCGCAGCTGCCACCACAGACGCCGGGACACAAGTTCAGAAGAAGAACTAAGAAACAGCACCAGGGAACAGAAACAAAACCAAGGAAAGGGGGCGAGGGTTGTTGATTTTTAACCAGGAAATCAACTAGAGATTGTAGGAGCCAGCCTTGGGGAACACCCACCAAGAAAGTCATTAAGAACAAAGTTGTGACAGAACAAAGTAAGAAAAACAATAGGGAAAAAAAACAGGCTAATTAAACACCACAATTGCTTTTATTGCATCTCAGGGTGATTATCTGTATACAGCTGGTCTCCCACAGCAAAACAGCCATTCCACAAAAAGAGTGACCACGTGACCACCCCTCATCTAACCTAACCCTTGGTAAAGAAAGTAAAGCCTGCTTCTCAGGATCTCTGCTGCACTAACCATCATCGCTCCCTTACAGCGCATCCATGATGTAACAGCCATCGCTGCCATTTAGGTGGCACTTATTCTAGACCAGGCGTGCTTGAAGCGCTTCCACAGAATTCACTTAATTGCCCGCTCTGAAGTAGTCCTATTGCTTCACACGGCTCCCACCCATCTCTTTAATCCTTGGTCAGAGATGTGGACCCCCCTCACTTTGTCTCATAAACATGATAACTCATCCCCTGTGCACAGAGGAGGGCGCGGAGAAACTTCTGGGTTCTAGGAGGCTCGGCTGCATTAGCAGAGCTAATCTTCAACTAATCAGCTCAGCAGCCAGAATATAAAACCCTTATCAAAACCTGAAACTCCACTGGGCGATGGTGGTGCACACCTTTAATCCCAGCACTCGGGAGGCAGAGGGCAGGTGGATCTCTGTGAGTTCGAGGCCAGCCTGATCTTCAGACCGAGTTCCAGGACAGACTCCAAAGCTACAGAGAAACCCTGACTCGAAGAAAAAAAAAAAAAAAAAAACCGCAAAACCTCCAACTCATCGAACTCTTCAGTGACTCCCTTCCCTTTCTGGGATAAAAGCTGAACCGCCTTAAAAGCTGAACCGCCTCACCATGAACTGTAGGGGCTCTCCTCGTGATTTCTGTTCTCTTTTAGTACTCTGCTAACTGGACTTTTGTGTTTGTTTTTCCCTCTTTCAGAAATACCCTTCCCCTACTCACAATTCTGGCTCCTTTCCAACCTCCATGTCTTAGCTTAAAAGTCACCTGTAGGGCCCTTCGGAGCACTTACGGCGACCTAAACTTACTCTAGTCACGTGTCTGGCCTATGCTCCCCAATCCCGCCTTAATTCTCTGTGGGTTCTGGAGATAAGGGCGTCTGTTCTTAGGCCCGACGCCTGCACACGGCCTGGCTGTCGGTGAGCGCTCAGTGCAGACCTATAACCCTGATTAGTGCTAGAAGCAAGCCTCGAGCTCCCTGGGTCGGCGAGACCGGCCCAGAGTCCTGCCAGGCACCGGAGCAGCGCGATCCGGTGGCTCGGGCCAGGCTCGAGGTGAGAAACGCCGCAGCCGCTCCTCACCTGCGCCAGATGCGGCCTGCCAAGGTCAGCCAGCGGCTCGGCCCCGTCCTGCCCGTCCACCCTCCCCAGGGCGGCCGCACTTCAGACCGTCCGGGCAGAGTCAGTCCCCCGGACCCGGAGGAGACGCGTCCCGGAGCAGGGCTCCATCCCGGACCGCGGCTGGGCCTCCGAGTCCTTCCGCCTTAGTTCGGACCTGCTGGCTCTGCAGCAGTGCCACGCCAAGGCAGGCTGGGCCTCACCCGGCGCGGGGCCCGTTCCCCTGGCAACAGCGCGGGCTACGGCGCCCCACAGCGGCCAAACCGCGCTGCGTCACTTCGTAGGGGCATCCTGGCTCTGGGCGGAGTTTGCCAGTGTCCCCTTGGCTCCTCAGCATGCCCATTCGTTTTTTCATTCCTCATTAACCCTCCCCCCACCTTTCGTTGAGTAAATCCACTTCCTTACATCATCACTCCTCAATCCATAACGTCTTCCAATAATCCTAGTCTCCCTAACAAGAGTCCCGTACGTTTTTCCCCCTGAAATCACTCTGTGTGTGCGTGTGTGTCTGTGTGTCTGTGTGTGTGTGTGTGTGTGTGTGTGTGTGTGAGCACGTGTGCATGTTCTCCCACCTCTGCCTTCTGAATGCTGGGATTATAGTAAGACATGGCTGTCTACACTTTTAAAGAATTTTTAAAGAATGTGCTAGATGATAGATTATATCTCAAAAATAAAATTATTATTATTAATTATATGTGTTTGTGCTAGGCGGTGGTGGCACACACCTTTAATTCCAGTACTCAGGAGGCAGAGGCAGACAGATCTCTGTGAGTTTAAGACCAACTTAGTCTACAAAGAGAGTCCCAGGACAACCAGGGCAGTTACAAAGAGAAACTCTGTCTTGAGAGGGCCGGGGTTGTATGTGTTTGTGTCTGTGCCCCAAGAGGCCAAAAGATATCAGCTCCCTTTGGAGCTGTAGTTGCACGCAGTTATGAGCCCCCAGACATGGGTGCTGGGGACCAGACTCAGGTCCTCTACAAAAGGAGTACACACTGGACTACGGAACCATCGCTCCAGTCCCCAAATAGCTCATTTCTATATTGCCCTTAAAGCAGGCATAATTCTTTCTGAGAGCTCCCATCTTCAGGAAACTCAGTAGGTCTTCTCCATTAGACTCTTCCTTCCTAGATCATTCCAAAGCACCTGAAAGCACACACAGACACACACACACACACACACACACACACACGCACACACACACACACACACACCTCCTGTCTCGTTTGGTCTCTGCTACTGAGGCTACAGCTATCGCCCCAGGCCACAAAGATTTTCAAATTGGGGCTCCACATGCTCCTTCTGGACCGTCCAAGGGACGGAGCCTTTAGCCTCTCTTCCCTTTGAAGGACCTAATTGTTAAGTTGGATTCCTTATTAATTCCCTCTCCCTGCTGAGTGTGGTGGCGCTCGCCTTTACTCCCCAGCGCTGGGAGGCAGAAACAGGCCTGTCTCTGTGCGTTTGAGGCCAGCCTGGTCTGCGTAAGCAAGTTCCAGGACAGCCTCCAAGGCCCTAAAATGATAGGTTGCTGGCTCCCTCTCAGACTGGACAGAGACAGAAAGCATCTCTATCGCTAAAAAACGTGCAAGTCACATGTGTGCAATAAATGCGACATAACTACTCTGTCACACTCCAGTTTGGGTCCTCAAGCAAGTTAGCCTCTCTATAATTTAAATTCTTGCTTTCAGGGCTAACTGATAAAGCTCAAAATTGAAGATAATATCAGAGTTACTCTGGCTCCAGAGACACATATGACTCCTCTGTTGTTATCCAGAAATGGAGAACCCAGGAGCCAAATAGAGATGGTCACATAGGAATGAAGGTGGAAGACAGGCCGATGAATGTCCACAGCAAAGAAAGGGACCCAAGAGTCAGTACCTTCTAGACCCCAGACTCTCCTATCTCCAGGGTACTTGTCCTGCAGGTCTAGTGAGTGCCCTAGATGTAACGTGCAAGAGATCCCTATAATTCACTCTCACAGGGAGAATACAGTACAGCCATCTCCTGCACCCGTACCTCCTGGGGAGCACCGCCATCACCCCATGGCCCATCTCTGCACCCGCACCTCCTGGGGAGCACTGCTACCACCCCATCAGCCCATTTCTGCACTCGCACCTCCTGGGGAGCACTGACATCACCCCATAGGCCCATCTCTGCACCCGCACCTCCTGGGGAACACGGACATCACCCCATAGGCCCATCTCTGCACCCGCACCTCCTGGGGAGC